CCCCAAAACCCCAAAACCCCAAAACCCCAAAACCCCAAAACCCCAAAATAAGAGCGTTGTGGGTAATTTCTATATACATTAATTAATAAATCAATATGATTTCCAAACTTCACGGAGGACTCATCTTCAACGGAGATGAAGAGAAGCTCTCACCCTCAAAGGAAGAGACCAAGACCATGGAGGAAGAGAAGGTCTCAAAGGATGACCTAAATGCTAGATTCTGCCCAAGGACATCAGATCTCTCCCTAGATGAAAGATATAACCTCTGCGCTTCTGTGGGAGAAGAGATCGTCAAAGAAGAAGGACTTAGAGAACTCCTTAAGAAGAAAGACAACTTCATCTGTTATGATGGATTCGAACCTTCTGGAAGAATGCATATTGCACAAGGACTCTTGAAAGCTATTAATGTAAACAAGATTACCAAAGCTGGAGGAATCTTTGTCTTCTGGGTTGCAGACTGGTTTGCTATGCTTAACATGAAAATGGGAGGAGACCTTGAGAAGATTAGGGACCTCGGAAGATACTTCATTGAAATCTGGAAAGCATCTGGTATGAACCTCGAAAACGTCAAATTCCTTTGGTGATCCGATGAAATTAATAAGAGAGCAGATGAATACTGGGCAATGGTAATGGATATTTCTACTAGATTCACTCTTAACAGAATCAAAAAGTGTACTCAAATCATGGGAAGAGATGATGAATATGAACTCTCTGCCTCACAAATCTTTTATCCATGCATGCAAGCCACAGATATTTTCTTCCTGAAAGCAGATGTATGCCAGCTTGGAACGGACCAGAGAAAGGTAAACATGCTTGCTGTTGAATATGCTGAGAAAGCTGGACTTGAAAAGCCAGTTATCATCTCTCATCCAATGCTCATGGGATTGAAAAAGGGTCAAGCAAAGATGTCTAAATCTGACCCAGACTCAGCCATCTTCATGGAGGATACTGCTAAAGACGTCAAGAGAAAAATCAAGAAAGCATTCTGTGATCCAGGAGATGTTGAAACTAACCCAATTCTGAATTACTATGAACATATCCTATTCGCCTTGAAAGACTCATGGACCCTTCACAGACCAGAAGAATGGGGAGGTGACATCACCTACAACAGCTACGCCGAACTAAAACAAGACTACGCTGATCTCAAGATAAACCCCGAGGACATCAAAGAGAACCTAACTGACTTCCTAAACGAACTCCTTGAGCCAGTCAGAAAGCACTTCATCGATAACGAATATGCCAGAAACTTACTCGAAAAGGTCAAGGAATATAGAAAATAACTTATCCAATAAATTTGCAGCTATTCGGGGTTTTGGGGTTTTGGGGTTTTGGGGTTTTGGGGTTTTGGG